TGCCCTTGGTAACTCAACACGAGCCCCGTCACTCTCACTATCCAAGAGAGTTGCAAGAAGGCCACTAAGCTTGCTCCTACTACGAGGGTCAACAACTGGCGGCAAGGCTCTATCAACTCAGTTCCCTAGAAAATTAAAACGATCACCACCCGAAGTGCACACCGTAACTGTCTGACGGTAACAATCAATCACAGCTTGATAAGAACACAACCAGTCCATGCCTAAAATAACATCAAAACTCAACGTATCTAGCAACACAAAAGCAAACAAAAGTCAACGCCGAGCAACTTCTATTTCACAATCACGACAACCTCGGTCTATGTCACACCCCTAACTCGCCCCTAAAAGTTTTGGGCATGACCTAATCAAAAATAGACACTTATCCTGCTATATATGATATTCGGGGCCTGAATGGAAGCGTTATTATAATAGAATAACATGCAGACACATCCATTGAGCGACTACAAATATGCCAAGATCACGTCTCGGAATTAAACATCTAGTGAACATGCATCTGAGATTAAGTTACATACACATTTACAAGTCCAGCCCAGAGGTTGGGCATATAACAAACATTAGATACAAATCTACTTCATCCCACAAAACATTAGTACAAAATGACAAAGTCTAGCAAAACTGCACTAGCATGCAAAGGGCTTCTTCAAGTGCCTGGTTGTCCTTAAGCTGACAAAAGATAGATGGTGATGATGATGTAAGGACTGACCTCCAAGCTGATTTCCTACAGAATCCCCAATGAACCCCAAGTGAAACACAACATAGCCATCCCACAAAACCTGTTATACTCACGTTGATGACGCTGTACCTAAAAACAGAATTTTAATAATGAACACTTGAAATTTCCAATACCGTAATGACACAACGGATAGCATTGCGCACTCCCGCGCCTTACAACATACACAAGGACCAAACGAATTAAAATGATTTCAACTGAGCACCTCATTCACTCTTCACAACTCTCCTCCTTCACTTGTGTTACCACTGTCCACGCTGGACGACGGACACCTATGCCGAAGTGGCCCAACTTTACCAAACATCTAATCTCTCGATTTCAACCAGAAGCCATACGAACCACACACTAACATGCATCGTACTGTGCAAAACCCCCCTCATCTAGAGATTTCACTCACCACCTCGACTGACTCGAAGTAATAAAATTTTGCATACCCTTCCCTCGTACTGAGTTAACTGACAGGGTTCGTTGACATTCACCACTCCAAGTCACCGTTCGTACCGAACACAAACTAACATAGTACCTTCATCCGCCAACGACCTATAGGGTTCGCTCTTTATTCCAAATCTTACTTGCCACTCACCCCGAGAATACAATCAAGACACCCAGTCTTCGTGCCACACCACTAGCCAATGTTACAGCTAGACAACCACCATGAACTAATCCCGACACCGTCTCATGTTGCCGACAAGGCTTTCAAAGATGCACTATTCTAAATTCCCAGAGGAGCAAAACCCCCCAGCCCTCTCATTAACATCCCAAACCTTTCTTCGCAAAGACCTTACTACGGTGACTCGACTCACGGTTCACACCCAAACTACGGGTTATACACCCAATCAATCCTCACGACAGCACCTCCCGACCTAACCAGTGTTAAGGTACAAACCTATCACTTTCGATCAAAGTAAGGAAGTCCAAAAACTTAGGAAACGTCCATAAGCTACTACTCGAGATATAGCACCAGCTGTTCGTAACGCACCACTCCCGATGTTAACAGTCACACACTTATATAGGGACTAACACTCTCTCTGTCGAACGACCAATCATAACACATGCCAATTCGACAATGTTACCTACCACGAAGATACAAGTCTAATCCTAACAAGATTATGCACTATGCCTTTGCAAAACACCATGTTATCTACATACTATATCTAGTATTAATCTCGCACTTCACATCCTCTCGAGGAGTTCCCGCGACAGTAGACTAACATCACTTTCACACACGTAAAAATCATTTAGATAACACCAGTGAAATTTCGAACTCTGGTAAGTATAACTGTCCTCGCCCCTTTCGTACTTCTGATTAAGATACGCATCCCTCAGTGATCCTTCTAAATTTGAAAACACGGCTCAACGGCCCTCACTTTTCCCAAACCAAAACACACGCATGAGAATGCATTATTACCAAAAATTTTATGGTCTTATAGCAACTTATCACATCAATAAAAATTTTATGGTCTTATAGCAAATTTTATGGTCCGAAGAACGCCGTTGCTATGAGTTTGAGCGGAAGTTGAGGCGAGGCCTCAAGTTGAGGGTTGGTGGGTCTTACATTCGAGAGTATAGACATTTAGTGGATGCTGCAGCTCACATGGAGCTTATGATGCAGGAGGAATACGAAGAGAAACATGGAGGCTCCAAGCGGGGCCAGGAGGGTCAGGGTGATGGCAGGAGACAGAGGGGTTATAACCCTCAGCAGTCTTAGGGTGGAGTTGCTAGATCGACCTTTCTGGTGCCGAGTGCAGGCTCGGGAAGAGGCAATCAGGGAGACTTGACTTGTTTTGTGTCACACCCCTAACCCGCCCCTAAAGGTTTTGGGCATGACCTAATCAGAAACAGACACTTAACCTGCTATAAATGATATTCGGAGCCTGAATGGAAGCGTTTATAATAAAATAACATGCAGACACATCCATTGAGCGACTACCAAAATGCCAGGACCACATCTCGAAATTAAACATAAAGTGGATATGCGCCCGAGATTAAGTTACATACACATTTACAAGTCCAATCCAGAGTTTGGGCATACAAAATATTAGATACAAACAACTGTGGCCAACAAAATATGGGTACAAAATGACTAAGACTAGCAAAACTGCCCTAGCATGCAAAGGGCTTCTCCAAGTGCCTGGTTGTCCTTAAGCTGACAAAAGATAGATAATGATGATGTAAGGACTGACCTCCAAGCTGATTTCCTACAGAATCAAATATAATTACAGAGTGAGACAAGCTCAGTGAATAATAAGACTTGAGTAGTTTAATAACCAATTTTACCACAATGCATAATACAAAAGCGAGTCTGATATGGTTTTACTTTCAGAACGGCCTGTTGGCCCCGAATTATCAGAACGGCCTGTTGGCCCAGAATTATCAGAACAACCTTTCGGCCCAGAACAGCCCTTCGGCCCAGAATAGCCTTTCGGCCCAGAACATACAAATATGTACGTATATCTTTTCAACATTTCATTTCCACTGAGTTCTAATCAATACAAAAGAAAATGTCGTAGCTGACGGAAAACAGAAAGTTATTAACAGACATTAGCGATAAATAAATGTACATTCAATGCACTATTACTCACAGCGTTGTGATGGCGTGCTAGTTCCTTCCGGAGTGTGCCCTGCACACAATCATAACTTGTAAATTAGTTCTCTTTCTTCTTAAATCATTGAGGAACTATTCCCTGTGTCATTACACTTCACATGAATTTATAACCATCTTAAAATCGTCAGAAAAATATTCTAAAAATGCCAGAGAGTCAAGCACGCAAAACTGAACAAACACATTTTTTTTTGAAAATAAGTCCCCCGCTCGAGCGCCACTTTGGCTGCTCGAGCGGACTGTACAAGTCACAAAACTGCTGGGAGGCCGATTTTCCCGCTCGAGCGGTCATGTCCTCCGCTCGAGCGGTCGTGGCCCAGATTTGGGACAGCTCGACTTCAACTCGAAATTTAGCAACAACACCTTATTTTACATGCAATCCAAGGTTAGATTAATGCAATATTTCAACCTAACATCACCATAACATAGATTCCACCTTGAACATAACAAATTAAACTAGATTAGAAGCTTCAACAAGCCATCCCTTTCTCAAATTCCATTCTTATATTCAAGTTATTCATGTTCAAAGAAAATATAACACATGATACTAACATAATTCCATGGGATGATGATATAAAACCAAAGGTTGAAGTATAATTTCATACAACACCCAAATAAAGTGTCAAAGTAACCAATTGATGAGAAACCCTCATAAATCAAACATGCATCATACATGAATCAAACATAAACATCAATTATAACCTTCCCAAAATTCTCATTATTTTGGGTTTACATAATTATTTCTCATTCAAACTCATAATTGAATATTCTCATGAAATAACAAGGAAATAAGATGTAGATTTCCTCCCCATAACTCAATTTGATTCTTTAATATAGATTACCACATAAACCCTCAACATCTACCTTAACTTGCCAAACACAAAGAGAATTCCCAACCATAATCAAGAGAGAGAGTAGCTAGATAAAGTAAATTTTCATACCTTGAGTTTAATCTAAGCAATCTTCACAAAATTCCCCAAATCCTTCACTTGAAGGCCTTCTCTCCAACTCTCACGAAATTCCCTCTTCTAGGTTGCACACAGGAGGTGTTTTCAAGTCAAAGACATCTTAAAGCTTGATATAGATATTTATGTTTATAATAAGACAAAATTTAATCGTTTAAGCATCCTAAATTGAAATTTCACAGAAAATCCCATTAGAGTTTAAAAATTATGCAGATTCCAAATATCAAATCAATTTCTGAAAATTAAGCCTCTAAGGCGCCCAATTTCAGATCCAAATAGTCTATAGTGACAGATAATTTCTTTATTCAACAGATAGGAATCCATATGGCTAAGTTTCATGTAATTCAATGTACTTTCACATAGAATTTCATAATATGCATTCAAAAAGATAGAATAGAGGGCTGAAAAGATACCAGGGTCATGTACGAGGGTCGGGCTATTACATTTTGTGTGTGGCCAGCTGGGTCACAAGTCTTCGGTTTGCCCGCCGATGGGAGGGGGTCAGCAAGCTGCTTCTTCATCAACTAGACCTCAGGGCCAGAGTCAAGGCAGGGGCCAGCCCTTGTCTTGCTATCAGTGTGGTCAGCCTGGGCACTTGAAGAGGTATTGCACGTAGTTGAGTGCTACTTCGGGAGCGTCTGGTTCTAGGCAGACGTAGAGTTATCAGCCAGCTCAGTCTGTGCAGGCCTCAAGGGCCAATCCGGGAGCTTCGTCATCCCAGTCAGTGCAGCAGTCGTATGCTCCGAGGGGTGAGCAGGTGGATCAGGGGCCTACAGGGCGCGTGTATGCTGTTACCGTGCAGGATCTAGTACTGGCTCCATCAGTAGTGAGAGGTTCTTTTCTGTTTTGCAACTCGGTTGCTGGTGTGTTGATTGACACGGGTGCATCTTATTCTTTTGTATCTGCTGCATTTGCATCTGTTTTGGAATTGGAGTTGGCACAATTAGCATCTCCTATTTGTGTGGTATCGCCTATTGGTGGTGAGTTGATCTTGAAACAAGGTGTTAGAGGTTGTGATATAGAGGTCGCCGACCATAGGCTTCCTTTTCCATTTGTAGTTATGCCCATGAAGGGTTTTGATGTCATTTTGGGTATGAACTGGCTATCGTCATACCGTGCTGTTATTGATTGCTACCGCCAAAGGGTTATGTACCTTGAGCGGGGAGTGGTTCCATTTCTTGGGAGACCGGGTTGGAAGTGTTCTGCCACCGGGGTATGATTCGCGAGGGCGGAGTGAGCTTAGTGGTCTACTTGCTAGCTTTGAGAGTGGTGAGTGTGGTAAGACCCAGCTTGTGTTGCCGAGAGTGGTTTGTGAGTATTCGGATGTCTTTCCCGAGGACCTTGTTAGTTTGCCACCTCACAGAGAGATAGAGTTCTCTATTGATCTAGTGCCCGGCACGGCGCCGATTTCTATGGCACCATATCGTTTTGCTCCAGCAGAGTTGGTTTAGTTGAAAGTTCAGCTCCAGGAATTGCTAGATAGGGGTTTTGTTCGCCCTAGTGTTTCACCGTGGGGAGCGCCGGCCCTCTTTCCTAAAAAGAAAGATGGTGCTTTGAGATTGTGTATCGACTACCGAAAGTTGAATCGGGCTACGGTCAAGAATAAGTACCCTATGCCCCGTGTAGATGATTTGTTTGACCAGTTGAAGGGTTCCCGTTGTTTCTCTAAGATAGACTTGAGATCGGGGTACCACCAGTTGAGGGTCAGGGAGGAGGATATTCCCAAGACGGCATTCCGTACGAGGTATGGCCATTATGAGTTTTTGGTGATGCCATTTGGGCTTACCAATGCACCGGCAGTCTTTATGGACTTGATGAACCGGATCTTCCGGGAATTCTTGGATCGATTTGTAGTCTTTTTCGTGGACGACATACTGGTTTACACACCTTCAGAGGAGGAGCACAAGGGACACTTAAGAGTGGTGCTTGAGTTGCTTAGAGCCCATAGGCTGTATGCCAAGTTTGGGAAGTGTGAGTTCTGGCTGAGGGAAGTCAAATTCTTAGGCCACGTGGTATCCGGGGAAGGGGTGTCCGTTGATGCATCCAAGGTTGAGGCAGTGCAAGATTGGGCACAGCCTAAGAGTGTGTTTGAGATCCGCAATTTTCTGGGATTAGCTGGGTACTACCGTTGATTTGTGAAAGATTTCTCCAGGCTAGCTTCGCCGTTGACTAGATTGACTCGGAAGGGAGTCAAATTTATGTGGAGTGAGACTTGTGAAAAGTCGTTCCAAGAGCTGAAGGTTAGATTGACCACTGCTCCGTTCTTGATTATTCCGGAGAGAGGGTCGGGTTACGCGGTTTATTATGATGCCTCACGAGAAGGTTTGGGTTGTGTGTTGATGCAAGAAGGGAAAGTGGTAGCTTATGGCTCACGTCAGTTGAAAATTCACGAGAAGAATTACCCTACACACGACCTAGAGTTAGCGGCAGTGATCTTTGCCTTGAAGATTTGGAGGCACTACCTTTATGGTGAGAGGTTCGAGGTGTTCTCGGACCACAAGAGTTTAAAGTATCTATTTACACAGAGAGACTTGAATTTGAGGCAGAGGAGATGGGTGGAGTTCATTGAGGACTATGATTTTGAGTTGCACTATCATCCGGGGAAGGCCAATGTTGTGGCTGATGCCCTTAGTAGGAAATCCATTAATGATGTAGCTTGTATAGCCATCCGAGAATGGGAGATGTTAGGTGTACTTGGCGAGTTTGATTTGCATCTGGGTGAATCCGTTGAGGCTGCGGACTTATTTTCTATTGCTGCGCAACCTACACTTGTGACTCGAGTGTTAGAGGCACAGAGCGGTGACCTTGAGGTAGAGTCCTTCCGAGAGAAGATCTCTAGTGGGAAAGTCGAGAAAGGTTTGACGGTGTATCCCGACCTGAGTGTGAGATACCGAGACCGTCTGTGTGTGCCGGAGTCTTGCCGAGAGGAAGTACTCCGAGAGTTCCATCATTCATGTCTTGCGGTGCATCCGGGAGGTACTAAGATGTATCGGGATTTGGGTCGCCAGTTCTGGTGGCGGGGTATGAAGAAAGATGTGGCAGTTGTCGTATCTAAGTGCCTTACTTGCCAGCAAGTGAAGGCCAAGCATCAGAGGCCAGCGGGTTTGTTGCAACCCTTGCCTATTGCTGAGTGGAAGTGGGAGCATGTCACTATGGACTTCATTGTAGGTCTTCCGAGGACTCAGCGGGGTAATGATGCTATTTAGGTGGTTGTAAACTGGTTGACTAAGTCGGCGCACTTCATTCCTATGCGCGTGAGAGATTTGGTAGATCATCTCGCAGACTTGTATATTCGAGACATAGTGAGATTGCACGGGGTCCCAGTGACGATCGTCTCAGATAGAGATCCTCGTTTTACTGCTAGGTTGTGGTAGAGTTTGCAGAGTGCCTTGGGTACTAAGTTGACTTTTAGTACGGCTTATCATCTTCAGACTGACGGGCAGTCCGAGCGTACTATTCAGATCCTTGAGGATATGCTTCGGGGTTGTGTCCTTGATTTTAGTGGGACGTGGGAGAGGCACTTGCCATTGGTGGAGTTTGCCTACAACAACAGCTTTCAGTCTAGTATCGGCATGGCACCGTTTGAGGCCTTGTATGGCCGACCGTGTAGGTCTCCAGTGTGTTGGGCTGAGGTGGGTGATGCACCTTTGTTGGGTCCGGAGTTGGTTAGAGAGACGACGGAGAAAGTTGAGCTTATCCGTAGGAGGCTTGTTACAGCCAGAGTCGTCAGAAATCTTATGCTGACCGTAGGAGGAGGTCTTTGGCATTTGAGATAGGTGATCATGTCTTTCTGAATATATCACCTAGACGGGGGTTGATGAGATTTGGGAAGAGTGGGAAGTTATCCCCTCGATTTATTCGTCCTTTTGAGATCCTTGAGAGGATTGGTGAGGTTGCTTATCGTTTAGCGTTGCCGCCACAGTTGTCTGGAGTTCATGACGTGTTTCATGTGAGTATGCTTCGGAAGTATGAGCCAGATCCATCGCATGTGTTAGATTGGACCGACTTAGAGGTAGACGAGGATGCCTCGTATGAGGAGAGACTGGTTCGGGTCTTGGATAGGCAGGATCAAGTCCTGCGTGGCAAGACCATTCCCTTGGTGAAGGTTTTGTGAAAACATCACGGAGTGGAGGAGGCCACTTGGGAACGTGAGTTGGAGGTCCGCGAGAAATATCCGGACTTGTTTGTTGATGAGTAATCTTGTATTTAAATTATATATGTTGTTGGACTTAAGAGCTTTATATATGTCTTAAGTTGTAAAACATGGGTAATGTTTTGGTTTAATGAAAGTATGTTATAGAACTTACCTTGATATGGGAGTTGGTTATGATATTGCATATGTTGGCTATATTGTAGAATTGGAGTTGTATCATGTATATTAATTATGATATGAACAGTGAACCATGTGTATTGGAAATGGTTGGGAATGGAAGAAAATTGCATGATTGATAATGAACTTGTAATATATGTTCTGAAATGCCTCTTGAAAAGAGATGGAATTGACCGGTAATGGGTCGAAGTGTTTAATATTATGTCGTAATATTGTTGAGAATGGAGGAAAACCGTTTTTGAAAAAATTGTGTTTAATTTCGGTGACGAAATTCTTTAAGGGGGGGAGGTTATAGCGATCCCGGTTATCCCTTTACTGTTCTGTTGTATTCCGGACTCGGTTCCGTGAAGTTGGTAGTGGTATCTATCTTGTTGCCGTCCTTTAATTCCCCTTGATTGAGTTTTAGGATGCTTTGAGAAAGGTTGTTACAGGTTGGTTAGGCCTTGGTTTCAATTTCTTGTTGTCCAGTTTTTAGGCGATCCGCTCGAGCAGGTCTTCTTGCGCTCGAGCGGGGATTGCACACCTCCAGTATTTCGTGTTCCTGCAAAACTTCTGCAGATGTGATTTTTACGCTCGAGCGGGTTTGGTGGCGCTCGAGCGGGTAGCACTTTCTGGGTATAAGTTCTGGGAGGTGGAAATCTACGCTCGAGCGGACTGGCTTTCGCGCTCGACCGGAAGTGCTTTATTCTTGTGTCTTGGCGCTCGAGCGGGCCTTATTGCACTCGAGCGTGTTCAGATTTTTGTTCTTGGCGCTCGAGCGTTGTGTTCTCCGCTCGAGCGGGTCATACGTATATGAGTTATTTGCTGGGTGATTTTAAATCACTTTTTGCTTTTCTTTCTCTCTCCTACTTTTTCTAAAACCCATTTTTGAGAGCCTCTCTCTCTAGAAACTCCCTTCTCTCTAGGGTTTGATCTAGTTAGAGTGTCCTCCTT